AGTGGACCTTCCCTCTTATCCCATGCCTGCTTACTTTGCTTAAGAGCCTTTGGTGTGGGACCTTGTCAAAGGGAAGGACTACACTGAAAACGCTGCTGCAGTGCAATTGTGCTGTAGCGCTTCAGTGAAGATGCTACTATGCCGATGGGAGAACTTCTCCTGTTGGCGTAGTTAATCACCTCCACCAGAGGTGGTAGCTACGTAGGCGGGAGAAGCCCTCCCGTAGTACTGTCTACACATGGGGCTAGGTCACTTTAACTGTGTCACTCGGGAGGTGGATTTTTCACAGCCCTGAGCAACGTAGTTATATCAGCATACGTTTATAGTATAGACCTGGCCAAAGGCTTTCTGAAAGTCCAAGTACACTGTATCAACTGGATGCCCCTTATCCACGTTTGTTGACTCCTTCAAAGAATTCTAAAAAATTGGCGAGGCATGATTTCCCTCTACAAAAGCTGTGTTGATTTTTTGCTAACAAACCATGCTCATCTATGTGTCTGACAACTCTGTTGTTTACTACAGTTTCAACCTATTTGCCTTGTACTGAAGATAGGCATACCAGCCTGTAATTGATAGGATTGCCTCTGGAGCCTTAAAAAAACCCAAAAAACAAAAAAAACAAAAACCACAGTGTTGTATTAGCTATCCTCCAGTCATATGATACAGAGGCTGATTTAACCAATATATTACACACCATGGCTAGCAGTTCTGCAGTTTTGTATTTGAGTTCCTTCAGAATGTTTGGGTGAATACCATCTGACCTTGGTGACTTATTACTGTTTAATTTATCGATTTGTTCCAAAGCCTTCTCTATCGACACCTCAGTCTGGGACAGTTCCTCAGATCTCTCACCTAAAAAGAATGCCTGAATGTGGGAATCTCCCTTGTAGCCTCTACAGTGAAGAATGATAGCAAAGAAGTCATTTAGCTTCTCTCCAACGGCTTTATCTTCGAGTGCTCCTTTAGCACCTTGATCGTTCAGTGGCCCCACTGATTGTTTTGCAGGCTTCCTGCTTCTGATGTACTTAAAAAATGTTTTGCTGTTAGTTTGTGTCTTTTGTTAATTGGTCTTCAAAAATTTTTTTGGCCTGCCTAATTATACTTTTACCCTTGACTTGCCAGAGTTTATCTTCATTTCTATTTTCTTCCGTAGGATTTGACTTCCAATTTTTAAAAGATCCATTTTTTTTGCCTCTAACCACCTCTTTTATTCTCTTGTTTAGTCATGGTAGCATTTTTTGGTCCTCTTACTCTGTTTTTTTATCTGGGGTATACATTTAATTTGAGCCTCTCTTATTGTGATCTGAATTGCAATAATTTTTGCCTGGCAATTTATACATAGAATATATGTAAGCATATGCATATACATTTATACCATTACACAATGATGACAACCATGTCATAGATTGTGGAACCATGTAATAAATTTCAGAGCTACGTGATTAATTTGTCCACCATGTGATAAATTGCTAGCCTCACCTGTTCTCTACCCACTAAATCCACCTCCTCTGGGATGACTAACATTCCAAACTTCTGAGCAGCATAAGGCAGCCATCATTATTTAAAATGCCACAAAAATGTTTCCTTCTTTCATCCACCTTTTACCAGTCCCTCTTCATGAAAAATGCTCTAATCCAAGACCAAGGATTAGCATTATTCAATAAAGTCTGAAATCTGCTGAACTATAAAAATCTCCTGTTCTAGCTCATATAAGCAGAAATCCATCCGTCCAACCTCTTGCTTTATAAAGTACCTCCATACCATACAGACTGCATACATTTCTGCTTCATTTGTGTTAGAAGACAGCTTGTGCTAAGCAATCGATTTTTGTCGGTCCCTTGAATAATTGCTTAAGAAAGGACTCAATATACATATGTACGTATAAAAATACATGACGGTATAGCATGGTATAAAGGTTTTATCACCATCTGTTTGGGAAGACCATGTTACTCACAAGTTGCAAAAGTCACACAGAAGTTATATCAAAGGAGTGCTAAAAAAAGTTTCACATCACTCCAGACCATCCTGTGTTCTCATTATGCCACAAGCAGTATTTTACAGAGAAAAACTGGTTTAGAAATGTTGTAGAGAATTTAAAAAAATGATCTCACCATTATTTGGCCCCATAGTATCTGAGCATTTTACAATCTTTAATGTAGTTCTCCTCACAACAACCTGTGAGGAAGGGCAGTGTTATAATCCCCATTTCACAGGTGGGGAAACAGAGCTAAGTGACTTGCCCCAGTTTACACCTGTGGCAGAGTAGGGAATTGCACCTAATCTCCCAAATCCTAGACTAGTGCCTTAACAAATAGACATTCTTTCCTCCCCAAATTGTACTCCTACCCTGCTCACAATGCAGGATCAGAGCCATAGAAATTTGTTTCTAACTTTGAGAGACCACAGGTTTAAAACTGCAATAATTTGATTGATAGGAAACTATCAGGTTTCTGGCAGGAATATTCACAATTCCAAATTTGAAATTTGTGTTCCTTCAATATTCTGCAATAATCACTTAAAAGTCACTATTTATGTGAATGTTCCACACAGTAAATTTGTTCATAGGATTGTCCGTCTAAGCAATCACAAAAGGGATGTGATCATAGTCCAAGTGAATTTGTTTAGAAATTCGTGGAAGGATTTCCCCCCCAGCATTCACACAGCCCTAGTAATAATGTACAGTAGTAGGTCTTTGCCCACCTGAGACAGACACTAGAACTTGGTTAAAATATTTTCTCCTGACTTTTCCAATGAGCTGAACTGAAATCCTGCATCCCTCTTTTCTGAGACACCATTTAAGTTTGGCTGATCCTCCTAATCATCTTGGATAGGCCCAGCAAATCAGGAACATCGGAGAAATGCCTTGTGACTTATGCCACATGACCCATCCTGATGAACCAAGCTCACATTTGAAACACACACTGATTGACATTCTGACAACATTTGCAAATATTCAGCTGGAGCAGTAAAGTTCCCCAAAAGCTTACATGGACAACTTGGTGACATGCAGAATCTCTGAGCAAACAACTACTGGCTTGGGGATGCAGTCCGAACACAAAGCAAGACCAAATCTGTATACTTTTGTGGTTCTAGTTGAACTGTGTTCAATGAACTTTGAGTCACTGATCATATTCTTCTTCATCACCAGTGTCTTCAGCTAAAAGTACGCCATAATGTAGTGTATACAGATCCATCATTGCCTGCACTTTGTGCCGTCATTTACCAAATGATCAGGTAAAGATTTTACTCCCACTTTGTAGAGGTGCAAATGATGGTACAAAGTGCCGGGCAATGGAAAGAACATCCTTTCTTATGTACAGTACCACACACTACTGGGAGCATGGAAACTGGTTAGCCATGAATAATTCAATGATGGAATGAAGCAGCAGTAATATATTCCCCAGCCCTTTTTTGTTTGAAGACAAAGAAGGTTTTTTAAGATTCTCATATATAATTGCAATACATTTTGGAGCAAGGCCGTGTTAATTCTTCAAGTTTGGCAGCACAAAGATGCCAAGAAGAATATGTTCGTGGGGAAATCTGAGAATTAACCCTTGAATGGCCTATTAATACTTTGATCAGAGGAATTGTTAATGCCTATACCTGGAGAATAGTTTGGCCAAGTATTTTTTTTTTAAATCAGCTACTTCTCTCTGTTAAAACTTTCAAGACTTTACCCCATAATATCTTCCCCCTCTCCCTTAAATGAAAACATTTGATCTTTTCCAGGAAACATTTTAGAGGAACAAGTATTTAGTTTCTAATATTTCTGGTTATTTTAAATATACACGTGCCTATTAGCCGATTAACGGACCTAAGAAAAACAACTTGGTACTGCAGCAGCGGCAGCCACCATTCCTCTGTCTACAAAGGAAATGTATAACCCGGCTGTGGCAGCTAGAGTAAAACACAACATCTGTTGATCATTGGCAACACGCTGGCAGGGGCTCCTAAAATCTAAGCAGGCTCAGTCTGTTTGTGCCTCTTCATTTCAGACCTGAAACCTACAGCCGTCTGCACAGATTGCACCAGCCGACTCCACAGATTTGCTGAATTAGCATGTCGACCATCCCACCCCCCCCAAAAAACTCAACTGAGTGTCATATTGAACAAGGGCAAGGTTATGTGGGCTTAGTGGGTGGACAGAGGCCATGGAAATGTGGCGCTTTTGATATCATTGATTCGCTTTCATAATAACGACCTGATGTTTTCCATTGTAAGCACAATTATATTTTTGAAACACTGGGGCCAAATCCTCAGCTGCTCTCATTGGCTGTCGCTCCACTGAAGTCAAATGGCACGATGCCCATTGGCATCAGCTTAGACTCTAGCTCGCTATGTGTCTGATTTTAATACCAAGGAGGAAAATAAAAGTTTAGGCTAAAATGGGTCACAATTCTGCCCTAACTTTGCCCCGGCAGCCCCCAGGCATAGGTCATTGGAGAATTTCGCTGAAGGCATTTGGCATTAAGATGTGGCATTCTAGTTTAATACCAGTAGAAAAGCTAGTTAAAATGATTAGCGATCACCTGCCTTCGTCACTTGATTGTTTGCTTTTTTAAAAAATAAGAATTATTTTCTTCAGTAAAAGCCACCCTGCGCTTGAGCCCTCTAGTTTAACTTCTTATTCTGCTTAGCTAATGCTCCAACAGCGGGATAATATTTTTTAAAGCAAAGTACTGATGCTGTCCTCCAACCACCTCCCTCCTCCTGTTCTTCCCTTTCATCTGTCTTAAAAGCATGCCACCATGTATTCCTGGGTCTAGCACATGTCAGGATGAGAGAGCATCCGAACTCTCCTCATTGCCAGTGAAATCATATAAAAACAACCTTTCATCAGTTGTTTGATAAGGAGGAAAAGGGAGAACTCTATGCTGAAAACTTCTCCAAAACGACACTGTCTAAATGCTGCCCAGCTACTGTGCTGGAATCCTTGGACTTCATCAACTCACAGCTCCCTATTCACAGACAAAAGAGCAAGTAAAATGAAACTGACTTACTGCTATGGCTTGCAGCCTTTCCTTGTGCAATTCTGCCTCCGCCATCCTGGAGAAAAGGACACAGAGGGAAGAAAGAAAAGAAAAAAAAAGCGCTGCAGTCACCAAGGGAAGCGGAGTTACACCCCAGAGTATTTGCAAAGAAAGCAGTGCTCTTTTGCAGGAGTCAACCACTTTGGGAGGCACTGCAGACTGGCTTACGAGAGGATCATTTTAGAAACTGGACCAGTGCCTGCCTGCCTGCCTCCCAGCTGTACTGCTAACTGCATTGCATGGCTGCTTCTGTGCGCTGTTGCTGTCACACAAGCCATGTATGTGCTCCAGAAGCAGCTGAGTACAGGGATCGCTCGCATGGCTATAATTTTTTCCCTTGACGTCTCAGCTCATTTGCTCCTCCTATGGAGTGTTGGGTCATGACAGGAGCTCAACATCAATAGCGTGCATAGTAATCAGAACCTGCCTGAATGCAGCAGAGACAGCTGTATGGCAGCATGCCCTTAAAACAGGAACTCTGGGGCGAGGGGGATAGAAGTAGCTATTCAGGAGTTAGGCACAGCAAACCTAAGGTCTAAACTGGTTTGGCTCGAGAAAAGGAGATTGTTTGAGTGAGTAGAGAGAAACAATACATGGGTAGACTTTCAGAGTATAGCACGCTAGTTTGTGACTGCCATTATAATATGGCCTGTTTAAGGAGATGCCAAAGAGGTGACCCTTCAGGAGCATGTCTCAGAGGGTAGGGAATATGGTGAAGCCCACATACTGTATATACAGATCGCACACAGAACCACTATGTTAAAGAAAGTTAAGGTTGAGAAGTCAAGCACTCAAAAGTGGGGGACAAAGTATGTGATAATGTATTTGATGACTGTATCATAATGCATATGGCTCCAGGAGACTAAATTAAGATTGTGAAGGCAACCTTAATTCTCGCAATTCCTAATTTTTGCATACTTGGCTTTGCAACCATTCAACATAGGAAATTACACACATGTAAAATAAAACTAAGTTTTGTTGTTGTTGTTTTTTTTAAAGAAAATCAAATGAAGAAATGGAAATTCCATTGCGTGGCATCAATACTGCAGCTCCCTCTCCCCCTCCCAGCCCCCCATCAGCAGGCCACAGACCTCTGCCACTTGAACGAATGGAGTAACTGATAGCCTCAGTAAGTTGGCATTCTCTATGTGGACCAGCATCAGAGAGGAATGAGACGTATATTTTGCCCCTGAGTTTCAAATATATTTGCTGACAGCAGAGGAATTCTGAGATGTAAACAAAACAAAAATTCAGCTTGGGGCAAACAATCTGCCTGGAAAATTTCAGCCCAAACAATTAAAATCTTGCAAAGTGAAAAGCAGATGAAAACAGGTTCTTATAATGGGAAATGTCAGGCAGCCTTAAGCCTAGGCCGTGCTACCAGCTCTGCCTATGGTAGATCAGCACTTTGAGCTGGGGTGTGATTTCCAGCTCAGGTGGACATACACTTGCTACCTCTGATTAAGTTAGCGCACTAAAAATAGAAAGTAGCCGTGGCAGCTCAACTAGCGGAAAAGGTTATCTGCCTCGAGTATGTGCCCGTCTGAGACCCTGGGCACTTACTCAGGGCAGGAAGCCTGCTTGCTAGCCCACTAATGCTGCCACAGCTACAGTCCAATTTTAGTGCACTAGCTCAATGAAAGCAATCATGAGAATGTCTTCCCGAGCCGGGAATCAATCCCCTCCAGCTTGAAATGTAGATATACACTCAATCACATTTAAGGGCATGTCTGCACATGTGTCTCGGGTCTGCACGTATTTTCTTTTGAGGACTTACAACCTGAAATAACAAAAATAGGCAACAGAGCAGGTGCCTCCATTTTTGGATGACCAACTAGCTTAATGATTAGAAGAGCTGAGCACCTCAAGCACAGCGACAACTCAGGGTGCTCAAAACCTCTGAAATCACCCCTAAGACGTACTCAGAGGCAGGCAAATTTCATGGCCACTGTTGAAATTGTGCCTGCTCACTGCACGTGACAAGGTGCACCTGGCTTTCAGAAAACATAGCAGAGGCCGTAGCATGTACACATTGTGCTTCAGGATTAAATCTGCCTTATTAGAAAGAACATCTAGAACAACACAGTAAACAGAAGAATGACTTTTTGCTGAGCAGTAAGCTCTATGAAATATAGCCCTTCAGATGGGAAAATGCACTGAACATGAGATACTCTTGGTAACTTTTATATCCAACGGGCAAGGTTTTACTGCCCTCTCCCTTAAAACCAAACATGATTTCCCTACAGAGGTTACCTTTCAAACAGGTGACAGACACTTGATGGGGAATCAGTCAGTAATTCCAGTTTAATATGGGACTTGTTCCTGTTTAAACAATCTTTGCTATTAAGCACATCTCGGGATCTTAGAAAATTCAGTCTTTTTTTTAATTCTTCAAACCCTTTTAGCATCTTGTTTTTCTCCAGAATTTCATCCTCAATGGCACAGTATGGGCCCCCACAGGTATCTGACAATACTGCCGTCTGTTTCGCAATACCCTGTCATGCTGCAGACAGATATATGTCTATCTTCCCACTGATGCACAGGGAAGGTATGTGGGTAACTCCTGTTAACCTTACTGAGAGTAACGTGATTAAATCTTTTCCACCACCACCGCTGAATTTTGATGGCAAGCTTAGCCCCCAGGGAAGAATTCTGCTGTCAGTTATACCCAGTGAAGCCAATGGAGTTCACTCAGGTCAGCTGGGTGTGGAATTTGAGAAATCAGATCTTCATGCACATGAAGCCTTGCAATGGGACAGAGTTAAATTAGACTGAAAAATATACCACAGGAAGCTCTCCTTCCCTTATAATCCCAATTCAGCAAAGCACTTAAGCACTCATTTAAGTGCATTAAAATTAATGGTGTTTATGTGCTTTGATGAGTCAAGGCCTTCTTATCATCATCACCATGGCAAATCCCAAAGAGGCATAGCCTTCTTGCAGATCGGGCACCACCTGCACCTATCTCTAGCTACCTCCTTAAGCCCCATGTTCAATTTTATTTAACTGACTGAGAGAGATAGGCAGACAGTCTGTCTTGGGGTAAGCACCCTACAAAAATAAATGTTACCAACAAGAAAAGCAAACAAGTATTTATTTGCGCTTTTATATATATGGAAACTTTAAGGTCATTTTAATAGCTGGATGAGTCTCTGCACAGACTCACAGAAGGTTTGAATTAATAATTCGCTGGACCTTATTTTAGTAATTGAAGTTCTCATGTGAGCAGTGGCCATCAGTTTACAGGGACTGAGGTATCCTTTTGTTTTACACTATCCCACTATCTGCAGAAGCAACCACATCAAGTATATCATCCTAATTTGCAGCAACAGTATTGCTCTGCCTCTGGCAGATTGTGCCAGTCAGAGAGTCAGGCACAAACTGACTTGCAAGCTAGAGAACCCCACCTTCTTCTGTTATGAAACGACAATCTTCATTACCCTCATTGCTGTGATAATATTCCTTATTGCACCTTTTCACTCGGTCCAATCTCAGATCTCATCACCAACAGCAAAGCATGATAACTGCAGCTCAGTCACTGATTTGTTAAGTACTCTGCTGTAGCATTTTTAGCCTCTGTTCCATAAAACCGCATCCCATATATGTGTGGGGAGAGGGGGTTCAGTGGGGGGAAGTGAACAGTAGCGATTGCTGGAGTGACCCTGATCTAAGAGGAATGTGCTGTGGTATTATATACCCAGACAGCAAGCTCCCCCTAAACTGCAAGAGTGATAACCAAGAGGTATATGCATGTCACAAAATAAGATATGCCCTAATGAGATTTCTATGAATTCTTGGATGCCCCTGAGTCCAAGTCGGATGATCTCTGCCTGATTAAGTCTTGCGAGAGAACTGGGCACTAATTAAAGTTGCTGATCAGAGTTTATTTAAATAGAGGAGAAGACAAAATTGCTTCCAAACACAAGATCAGTGATGACAGGGAGGACAGGAAGGGGAAGAAGAAAAGACTGAATCAGCAAAGAAATAAGGCAGTGTTGATTCTGGTCAGGTCTTCCACTGATGTGGTTTTTCAGAGTCTCACATGGAAGCTCTCCACCTTCACATTCTTTCCAGGCATAAATGTATCTAGAGCAAGAGGGGGAGATGTCCTCAACTAAACCAGATAACACAGACAGCATTTTGATCATGAATATGCTATCAAGTTTGGGTTGTTCTGCTCCACTGCTGGAACCAGCAGGGTTCCTTTTGCACATTGTTGTGCACAAGCATAGGGAACAACAGAGGAAATAGTAACACTTCAAAAGTATCCTCAACAGTGATTGTCACAATGTTCAAAGAAAGGTATAGAAATGCCTGAATAATAGGACTTAGCTCTTTTAGAACACCTTTAATTTATAGATCTCAAAGCACTTTGCACAGAAAGATACATATTCTTTTTTAATATCGATTTTTATTGAAGAAATCCCAGGTTTTACAAAAAGTATTATTAGGGGTTTTTTCTGGATTTACACCCTACTTTTGTATTATTCAAATATATAAAAATAATTTGTTTTATTAGGAAAATAGAATACATTGCATGAGATATATGTATTACTATAATACATTAGTCAGTGTGTATATGCAAAGCTGCCCGTTGAAGCAAGGTTATGTATTAGTCTAGAAGGTACACAATAAACAAACAGGCACGCACGCTCGGAAGTGTGTGTGAACCTGAACGTACTGATGAATCTCGTGCCTACCACGTACACATTGCAAGCTGTTAACAGATAACGGTTTAAAGAGCTGACATACTAAAATGGGAAGAAAACAAAAATCTGTATCAGAATACGTTTCAGAACACGAGGAAGTATTCGAAAGTTAAAAAAACAAACAGGAGAAAAGGATGAAGTATGCGCTGCAAATGATGTGGCCCAATTATTAAATGTAAACATTTAAAGGCTAATAGTTCTAAGTCTACAACAGTAAACTGTTTATTCAAATGAAAAGTTGTATTTGGGGATTAGAGAGTTATTGTTTTCTTAAACTTTCAGGTGGCAGCATTGTGTTTTGAATTCTGTTTTAGTTCTGCAGGAAACCGCACTGAATTCCATTAATCAAAGCATTAATCTACTGAATACTTCCCCGCCCAGTCCTTCCATCCACCAAAATAAACCCTGATATTTACCCAGAAAAAATATTAATAGTTTTTCCACCGATTTTCACCTCTTTTTGTTGTTGTAGTAATAAACACTGATAAATTCCTGGAGAAAAATTAAATAAAATAAAAACCAAAACCGAAGGGCCCCTTTCATTTATTTTTACAGGACACAGAGAGGTGATGTCATCTGTCCAAGTTCACCCAT